GGTTTACATTCTTCTTCATTTGATTGAGGAACAACAGCATCATGACTATGCAAAAAATAGAATGTGAAGGATGAACAACAAGCAACAATTGCAATAGCATCAACAGCACCTACAACAGTAGCAACTACAAAACAAACAAGAGGAGCAATAGCATCAAGAACAATGCCAACAGTAGCAACAATAACAACTACAATTACAGCGCAACATCAAAAACAGAAAACTCATACTGTATCAAAGTCAGTCCATTTACCTATAGCCCAACACAGGGGACGACGGCACAGCTAACAGATGCTTATATTGCTGAGTAGATATGACTTGTCCATCCATGCTTGCCTGAGCACACAAAACAATGATGATTGACAACTGTCATTCAACTCTTGATTGGTAATCTAACTCTCTACACCTAGTCTTTTAAGTTAATGTGACCTTCGTCATTCAAACTCCCTTTAATAGTTCCTAGCCTCATCTAGAAAGGTAGCCAAACCTTTGCTCAAGAGCAAGACAGCTTGCACTAAATATAGCTACAAGATATCAGTTTACACTCCTAAAGACAATTCTGCATAAGGTCAAGTATTTAACACTGTCATGCAAAGGCGCAACAACCTGTCAAGTACAGAGAGTTATAATGTAGCAAATGCAACCAGATACTGCTGTTAAATACACTTTATATGGAGTCAAGAAGAACAAAGAAAGCTCCACTCCATATATTTTCTATACATTAAGTCTAATTTTAAAGCGGATTTCGTATGAAAAAAAAAACGGTACTTTTGAACTGTGACCGCACTAATCAGTAGCAGTGATATATTGTCAAATCTTTATTTTTATTTGAAATCCTAGAAGTACCTAGTACAGTATCATAATCTACCTAGTGTGATAGTGTACCTAGTGGGGTACAGTATTATAGTCTATCTAGTGTGATAGTTCTACCTAGTACCTAGTGTACCTAGTGCAGTACAGTATCATAGTCTTCCTAGTGCGATAGTGTACCTAGTGCGATACAGTATCATAGTCTACCTAGTGCGATATTGTACCTAGTGCGGTACAGTATCATAGTCTACCTAGTTTGATAGTGTACCTAGTGCGGTACAGTATTATAGTCTACCTATTGTTATAGTGTACCTAGTGCGGTACA